CTCACAAATCATTCAAGGAACAAATAGGTCTTTTCCCAACATCTTGGTACTATTTATACTCTCTAGAATTTAGACAGCCTCAAGGTTTAGCCTACTAGTCTAAGATTCTTGGTGGAAGGGATTTTATTTTCCCTTGGTATTTTCTCACATGGTGTCCAGGGTAATATCTTTCACAAAACAAAACAAAGCAAAACAAAATAAAACAGTTAATGAATAATTTAATAAATCATGCTTCCCGGAAGGAAATTCCAGGTCTAAAAGTGGATCTCCAAGAGAAATATATTCCTCTAAGCCAAGCCAGTGATGCCCTGAAGTCTGTGTTACTATACACTGACCCTGAGAATTCAGGAGAAAAATTTTTATAAAGAAAGCCTAGAAATCATAAATAGATAATAACAATTTTACATGCCACTAACAAATGGCATGTTGTGTAAAAAAAAATGAAGAAACCTCTTAAAGTCTGAACTAATAGGCTAATAAAAACCTTAACTAGAAAGTCATGGCAGTTTTAGAAATCATATATATACACAAGTTTTAAATGTGCTAACTTTTCACTGACCTCTCAGTTGCTCACAATTGTAAAATAACAACTGGTTTTTATTTTATGCTTTGCTTATGGCTAGCTTCAATGTTTGCTCATGCAATTAATCTTCTGGAGATTATCATTTACCATGGAACTCAAAGATGTAAAGATTTTTTAAAAATTATTTAACGTAATATATATAAATAAATATATTAAGTTTTTTTGTGGGTACTGGGAATCAAACTCAGGACCTCATGCTTGCCAGGCAGGTGCTACACCACTGAGCGATATACCTGGCCAAGGGTGTTTTTTTTCAAATGAGGAAATCTCTGATTCTAAATTTTCACAAAAATATTTTTAAAAAAAACCTCCAGTGAACTGTGTGACTAAACCACTTAATCATTATTTGCGAAAAATTACTTTTACAATGACCATATGAGAGTTTGGGTTTAGGAAAACACACTTTTAAGCTAAGAGGAGGGTTTGGAAGTCTTAGGTGAAATGGTCCCTATTGCGGCAAACACGGTCAGGATGTCCCACAGGCATTTATGCAGATTCTCAGTCTACACTTCAGTTTCTCACTCCTATAGATTGGCATCTCATTTGTTCTTGTGCTTCTTGAGTTTGGCTTTATAATTGATAGGTCTCATGATATCCAGGTCTTTGGAGGCTTTGTCTGAGCAGGGCAAGGGAAGGGGTGACCCATAGTTTGAGGAAGGCTTCTTCACAGAGACCATGTCAATAAAGCCAATGAAACAACAGAGGTCACTTACTCAAACAGACAAGAGCCATTCTGGGGTGAGTATTCTATCAGTATCCCTGGACTCCCCATTATTAACTCTGCACTTACTAAAACGTATTTGTGATTACCCCAATGCTGGTTATATTATCCACTTTACCATTCAGCTTTGTACATGTTTACTGGCTTCTGACAGCTCCTTAAACCCATCTCAGTGCCAGGAATACCTGTTGCCAGATCCACTGTCTGACCACAATCCAGCTTTTCAGATATTGGGCAAGATCTGATACCCAACTGAGGTTCTAGTCACTGACTGATCATAACCCCACACTTCGTTTCAAACAAGTCTAATCATGCAAGAGGGTAACAGAGCACAGTTTTCAAGTCTATGGATGACAGAAAGGTAGAAATGATGGCTAATATGATGGGAAACTTCAAAAGCCTTTTAGGAGCTTGGAAGGTTGGTTCAAGAATAACAAAGTGAAATTTAACAAGCCCTGAGTTTGTATTCCAAACACCATTTCACAAACATAATAATAGAAAAAAATGGCTTGGCTCTTTTATATAAAAACACGTGTGCATTTTATTGATGATAAGTTTAGTGTGATGTGACTTAGTTGCTCTAAAGGTTAATTTTCTTGTGGGCAGCATTACTAGGATTGTGTCCAAATCACACAAGGCAATAATCCTAACACACAGATTTTGAACTGGTCAGGCACTCTCTGACTACTCATGTGTTAACTCCATCCAACAAAAGGACCATTACTAGACACAGACAACTTGAAGGAAACGTGCTGGGATAGAGAGGTCTGGGCTTTCCAGGACATAAGGAATTTCCAGACAGTTGTTTAGCCAGAACAATGACTCTGTATCAGTTAAAAAGTCTTCTGTTTCAACAGGTAAATCATTTGGCTTAGGCAAAGGTGGGGGGTATGAACCCTAATGACACAGACAAGGCTGCCAGTGAGACAATATGCCTGAGCTAGTTGTTTATCTCCGGCATCTACTCCGATTCTTTGGTTCCCATAGAGTATGGGCTTTAAATATTTTGAGTATCACCCCTGGAAACAGGAGTGTCTCACTGAATCCAAGGTTAGGAATACAGCTGTGTGAACTGAATAAGGGCTTGAGCCGGGAAGTGGAATGTCGTTGGGAAAACTGGCAATATTGGCTCTCTTCTTTCCCCTCTTCCTCATTCTTCTTCGTGTGAGACAGCCTTCTCCACACCTTAACCCACTTTCTAGAAACTGCTTTTTCCTCAACTAGTTCCAAGTTGCCAATAGGAAGGATTCTGCTTGGCATAGCATGGGTTGAGTGACTATCATCTCTCCATCACGTTGGCCAACTGGCTGCAGTATCCTAGACAAACATGGCTGTTGAAACCGTCCTCTATGAATTAAAAGGAGATAAGGAGATTGTTGTGTGGCAGGCACATACCCCATAACTTTTTACAGCAGTTACTTCATCTTCTTGGGTATAAAACACCCCTTGAACAACCTGGAGAAACTTAGGCTTCACAAAAACACATGCGCAAAATTTCATTTGTGCTTTCAAGTGATTCCTAGAACCTTGGAGTGTGTCCCTTGATCCTAGAATTAAAAAAAAAAAAAAATGACCTAGAGAATGAAATACTCATGAGAGAAAAGAGCTGAAGAACTGTTGGAGAAGGGGAGTAAAATATGTAATGCTTGCATGGTTAAAAAATTACAGAATGCTAATAACGATGAAAACCATGGTTCTCTCTAGATGCAGTATAGTAAATGACTCCTACTTTGGTCGTATGTGTTTATTTTTTCTACTAGAACACGATCACTTTTATAATCAATATAGCATTTTTAAAGGAGATGAAAATTTCGGTTTCTCCAGACAGTATTTAAAACAACAGTTGAAGTCGACAAGAACACAGATTTTGACTCAGTGAACGCTTAACAATAATGGTATCATCCCTTCACCTAATCATTCCTCACAACAGAAGCCAGTTGTGCTAACACATAAGTCAAAGTATATTTCTCTGCTCCAGGTCCTGCACAGGCTCCAGAACTCACTCAGAACAACAGCCAGACTCCTTGTATTGGCCTATAAGGTTCTGCATGATCTGGTCCCTATTAGGCCTCCAGTTTCATCTTCTACAACTCTCCCTCAGCTCGCTCTGAGTCCTATGTGTTCCTGAAATTCCTTCACCTCCATAAGCGTATCTAAACAACACTTTCCCATTGAGCCTTGCGCTGTTTTAAGCTGCAGCTCCCCTCTTCCGTCTGAAGGAATCAGATCAGGGCCATGCAAACAAGGTGGCATTCAAAAACACCCCTTAGTTCTGGCGCTTCTGCAGTTTCAGTTTCCCCCACTCACAAGCTGCCTGCCCGAGGGTCAGTACCTGCACAAGCTGCACAAGCTGCTCCCTTAAAGGCCAGCCATTCTCTCTCCTCTAGCTTTCCTCATAGACAGTACACAAACTGCAGGCTGCCCACTTGAAGGACAACCATTCAGCCCCGATCCAGCTCCCCTTCTCAGCATCTGCCCCTTTCTTAACCCTATAAAACCCCTGAGTCTGTAAGAGAGCGGCAGCATGGTCCTCCCACCAGCGATCCCTCTCACATTTGTTTTCCATAAACCAGGCTTGACTCTTGAGCTCATGTCTATGTTCCGCATGTTTCCTTACATCTTCCTCTCACCAACTGGGACAGAGTCTGGGGACAGTGACCAGGCAGCACTCCCCACCCGAGGAGGACAGCCACGCTCAGGCACGGCTAAACTTCTGGGTTCTAGCACCGTCACCACAGCCATTCCTCACACTCTGTACTCTTTTTCTTTTTCCCACAGGACTTCTCACTTTCCGAGACATTAATGCAAATTGCTTTCTTATGTTCCTGTTATGTTTCTCCTCACTGGATTGTAGGCTTCAGGAAATGGAGAACTCGTCTTTTCTGTTTTTTTTGTTTTGTTTTGTTTTGTTTTTGTTTTTTTAGCTTTTGTCTGATTAGCTTAATACCAAGCACTCAGAATGCTGCCTAGCTAGCAGTGAAACACTCAAGGGCCATTTGTTGGGAGCACAGAAGGGCGGGTGCGAAGGAAAAGTAAAGGAAACAAAAGAGAGGGGGCGAGAAGACTTGAAGCGGTCACGCAAAGGAGATAATTCCACAGCAAAGGAATTCCCAAAATAAGACAGAAGTCTGGCTTGGACAATTTTAAACTTCTATTGCCAATCTAACGTTCTCCAATGATAGAACTCTTCCCACCTGCTCCCATAGCCCAGGTTCTTCAATTTGTTTTTATTTTTCTTTTGAACAGGGTCTCCTGATATTGCCAAGGCTGGCCTTCACCTCCTGCGCTCAAGCCGTTTTCCTGCCTTGAGCTCTCAGGGAGCAGGGATTATAAGCATGTGCCCTTTCATCTGGCTTTCCTTTGATTTATTACTTATCAGGTTTGAGAAAGCACTGCTTGCAATGAAAAGAAAATACCCAGGTTACACTAAATCAGAAGAAAAGTTTACAGTTAACGCATGAAATCCCATAGACTGTAATGGTAAGAACTTTAACGTGGTCCCTTGAGAGACTACAACCGGAATGGCCTCAGTCCCTCGAGGATTTATCTCTTTCTCTCAGCAGCCGCCTACTGCTCCTTACCGGAGAGGGACGAGATATCCCAGATCTCAGCAGCTAACTAAAGTCCGTTCAATCCCAAATTCTACAAGAACAAATCTAATTGGCTTAGCAAAGTTTCTCAATTGTTTTCCCATAGCTCAAGTGGTACTGTCAGCTGCCACCAAAGACAACAGCATCAGAGAATGAAACCATGACCGAAGATTCCTCCCTGGTGGGCTTGGGAAGGCAGGCGGTTCTCAGGGAAGTCGCGTATAGACTGAGCCAGCACACAGACTAGCACGCCAAGGCACCGCCCCACTGGAATCTAACTGCATTAACATTCTGAACAATCTAATTGCTTTTCCCAAGCAATTTCCTGTCTGGAAGAGGTTGCCGATTTCTTTGAAGCTAAAATAGGCACATCCCTCACTTATAAAAATAATAAACAGCTTTCTGAGAAAGTTCTGAGGAAATTTTTCTACCACCTAGAAAAGCACAGTGAAAGGATTCATCTCCCAGAATAGGAGTGGCAGAGACTTTAACCTGGAACAGCGCTAGCAACATATTGCAAAATTCTGCACCATGATGACAGATGTACACTGAATTGTTTCTTATTATAAATAAGCTTTAAAAATTGAAGCACAGCGTAAACACAGAAATGTGTATAAATAATACATGTTCAGCTGGATGAATTCTCCAAAGTAAAATGTCCATGTAACCAGCCCTCGGATCCAGACACCACCATTATCACCCCAAAGGAAGAAGTCTCACTTTCCTCCACTTCCACATGATCAAGGTAATCAGTCTCCTGGCTTCCACAAATCAGCTATGCCTAAATTCTCATTTAAATTGTTTGTCCTTTTTGTTGGGCTGACTCTTTTTTTAAAAAAAGTAATCTTATTAAGGTACAACTGACATGCAATGGAGTACATTTAAAGTACCTGGATTTGATAAATTTTGGCTAAGTACACACCATGGAAACCATTGCCACAACAAAGACAGTGAACATATCCATCCCTCCTAACCCCAGATGACCACTGGTCTACCTTCTGTCATCGATTAGTTTATATTTTCTAAAATCTGTACAAATAGAACCGTACCACATTTTTGTCCAGATTCTTTCATTCAGCATAATAATGTGGAGATTCATGCATGTCCTTACTTGTATCACTAGCTCATTCCTTTTCATGACTGAGCAGTATCCCATTATATAGATACACTGCAGTTTATCTCTTAACCTGTTAATGGATATTTACCTTGTTTCCAGTTTGGGGTTACTTTCGTCCTAGTACTCACCAGGCTCAACCCTGCTTAACTTTAGAGATCAGACAAAATCAGACATGCTCTGAGTGATATGGCCATAGACCAATTGGAGCTACTTAAACTGAAGTTGCTATAAACATTTGTGTGGGCATTATCTTCGTTAAATATTTCGGAGTGCAATTTCCAGGTCATATATTAGGTGTATGTTTAACTTCAGAAGAAACTGCCTAAATTGGGCATGGTAGCACATGTCTGTAAGCCTATAACTCCAGCATCTGGAAGGCTGAGGCAGGAAGATCCCTGAGGTTTCAAGGCCAGTCTGGGCTGGATAGTGAGTTCAAGGACAGCTTGACCAGCACAGAGAGACCCTCTCTCAAAAAGAGAAAAGAAAAGAAATTGCTCTAATGCCTTTCATTTTATATTATCAAAAGAAGTGTATGAGAGTTTTGATTGCTCGTCTCACTAACATTTGATATTATCGATATTTTTAGGAATTCTAATACATGTGTAATAATATGTCATTGTGGTTTTAATCTGCATTTTCCTAATGAATAGTGATTTTTGAGCACATCTTTTGACATATTCATTATCTGTATTTTTTTGTTTTGTTTTGGTTAATTTAATTTAATTTTTTGAGACAGAGTCTCAGTATTCCAGGCTGGCCTTGAACTCACTGTGTAACCTAGGCTGGCCTCCAACTTCTGTCGATCCTCCTGCTTCGGCCTCCTGAGTGGTGGGATTACAGGCTTGCACCACCATGCCTCACCTAATTGGCCCAATTATCCCTTTTCTTTTTCAGTTAAAATTTGTGTAAATCTGCTACTGCCTTAGTCAGCTTTCTAGTTGCTGAGATATAATATCCAACACCCGCTATTTAAAGACACGTCTAATATGGCTTATAGTTTTGGAGGATTCAATCCACAACAGGCTTGCTCTAAGCAGGCTGAAATAACCTTATGGGAACTGTAAAGCTGCTGAGCTCACGGTTGAGGAAGCTCATGGACGGGAAAATCAGGGGAAAGAAGCAGCTCTACAGAGAAAATGGCAGACAAGGGACAGGATATGACCCAAAGGCCACGCCTCTAGGACCCTCAGACACACCAGGAAGTGTGCTCCACCAATCCTCAAGGTGGACCCCAAAGCCAATCAAGTTGATGCTCCACCCTAACTGCCCCAGCCCCTCCCATCCCTTCCTCAATCCCTCTCCCTCCCGCTTGGGATACTTCCCTCTACAGTTCATTTGCCATCCCCAGCCTGGTGACTGACCTGAAGCCCTTGTTAATGCTTCAAGGCAAGTGCACTAGCTCTGAGCTGTGTCTCTCTACATTCGTATTTTTTCATTGATTCTTTTGTTTTCCTGTTACAAAGTTATAGTTCCTTATATATTCTGGATATGGTTCCCTGGACTCACTAAGGATTGAACCTAGGGCCTTTATAAACATGGAGCTACATCTGTGGCCCTTTTTAATTTTGAGACAAGGTCTCCCCCAAGTAGCGCAGGCTGGCCTTTGACTTGCAGTCCTCCTTCCTCAATCTCCCTGAGTGCTGGAACTGCAGGTGTGTGCCACCATCCCTGGCTACAAATGCTCTTCTATCCAATGCGTTTTGCAACTATTTCCTCCCAGTTTGTGAACTGTCTTTCCCTTTCCTCAACAGCATCTTTTCAAGGTAAAAGAGTCTTAATTTTGAAAGAGTCTAATTTCATTTCTTCTGTTGTGAGTCATGCTTCAAGTATCATATCTAGGAGATCTTTGCCTAATTCAACCTCAAACAGATTTTTTCCTGTACTTTCTCCTAGTTTTTTTTTTTTTTAAATCAGGTAGGTTTTACACTTAGGTCTGTGATCTATTGTGAGCACATTTGTGCATATGCTTCAAGGTATGGATCAAAGGTTTGGTTGGTTTGTTTTTGTACTTGGATATTTCTTTCAGGATCAATTATTGAAAAGAGTGTCTTTTCTTCTTTAAACTACGCATGCATCTTTGTCAAAAATCAATTGACTATATTTGTGTGAGTCTATTTCTGGGCTCTTTTCTGTTCCATTCATCTGTTTGTCAATATTGGTGCCAATACTATACTGCCTTCATCATTGTGACTTCATCGTAAGTATCAAAGTCAGGCAGTGCAAGTGCTTTAACTCTGGTCTTTTTCATAGTTATTTTAGTTATTCGAGGTCCTCTGCAGTTCTACACGAATTCGAGAACACCCTTGTTAACTTGGGGGAAGAAAAAGTTTCTGTGATGGTGTGGTATTGACTCGGAATGTCTTGAATTTATTGATCAATCAAAGGGAAAATTGGCAACTTAATGATATTCTCTTTTTGATTCACCAACTCAGTATATCTTAGCTATCTATACCTTTAATTTTTCTCAGCAATGTCTCTTGTATATATATTTGTCTTAAATGGGGAATTTGGGGTCATTAGGTCTTTAAATATTTTTTTTTCTTTTTTAAAAAATTACTTTTATTGGGACATTTTAGATATACATAATGATCACACTTACCAGAAGAAATTTGTACATTTACATAATATATCTTGATTCCTCTTTTTTCTCTAATCTCTTTAAATATTTTAACACATCGTTTCCTCTTTGGAAAGTGCAATTGCATATATTTTAAGCTGCTAGAAGTGGTCTTTTTCCATTTATACTCTTCCCTTTTTCCATTCTTTTTTTCTTCTCTGTTTCGTAATGCTGCCTATTCAAATTTAGTAACTTGTGATATCTAAATGTTTAATTCTATGCAGTATATTTTTCATGTCAGGCACTGTAGTTTTCATCTCTAGAAATTTGATTTAGGGTTTTCTAATTATCGTCCATATTTCTACTTCACATGCTAAATCATTCCTTTAGTTTCTTAAACACATGCTAAAGAGTGATAGCTTATTTGTGGTGCTGAGGATCAAATTTAGGTCCTCACACATACATCATACAACAATGACATTCCCCCAGCTCAGGAAATAGCGTCATTATAACTGTTCTAACGTTTTTTTCTAATTCTATCATCTGTGTTATTATGGGATGGCTTTAATTAATTGATTTTTTTTCTCCTCATTTTAGCTCATATTTACCTTGTTTGTATTTTGATTGGATGTTAGACATTGTAAACTTTATGTTGTTGGGTTTTCCTATAAATATGTTGTTTTGTTTTCCTGTAAATGTATTGAGTTTTGCTTTAGGTCATACTGTGGTTACATGAGAATAGGTTAAATCTATGTGGTCTTACTGTTAAGTTTTCTTAGGCAAGACCACAGTAGCGTTTAGTCTAGGGCTACTTTTATACCACTACTGAGACAAAGTCTGTCAGAGTACTTCACAGTGCACTGTTACTTACTCGGATGATGTTTTCTGCTCTGGCTGGGGGAGAAGAAGAACTATTTCTAACCTATGTGACTCCTGATGATTCTGGCCCCTCTCATCCTTTCCAATGTTTCTTCCCCCATCATCAGGTTGTTTCTTCATCTGCATCTGCTGATCAGTATTCACCTGAAGGTTGGAGAAGGACCATGTGAGGGGGATCTCAGGAGCCCTCTGTGGCTCTTTCCTGTGTGTTAATCTATCCTGCAACCTCTAATTTATCTTCCCCAAATCCCCATTCCATTTTCTCAACTCAGAGAGAGAGACAGAAAGAGAGAGAGAGAGAGAGAGAGAGAGCTTCAAATTCCCTATGCTGTGGCCTAGAAAGTCTTCTATTCAGTAAGCTGGGAGAATAGTTGGGCTTTCCGTGGTTTTTTTCCTGTCTCCAGGTATCACTGTCATTCATTGCCTGGTGTCCAATTTCATGTAAGTTATTGTTTCATACATTTGATCCTTTCTTTAAAAGTTGTTTAAGTAAGCCAGGTAAATCTAGTCTCATCTATTCTATCTTGGTTGGAAGCAGAAGACTTAGATTGCCCATATCTTAATTCTGGGGATGATTCGTATAACCCAATTACGAGCCCTTTAACAACATTTATATTAAAATACCATCTTCCATTTTATAAAGAATAGATTTTAATACATATGTATTAAGATAACTTCTTCCATTTGTTTTTGAACTCTATTAAACATAATTTTTGATGAAGAGATGGTCTCAATTTTCATGTTACTGAACTCTATCACTTTTTTACATTAAGGTTAGTGCCCTTTTATTTATTATTTGTGTGTATGGTGCTGGGAATCTAGGGTCTCATACATGCTTGGCATACTCTACTAT